CTGTGACAATTATTGGTCCTTAAGGGCTTTAAAGAGTAACTTAACACCTTCTCAAAGTCTTGGTTTTGCAAACTTTCTTTAACTTCTCTCTTTACTGAGGTGATGTAGAAATGTACTCCAGGGTATGTCAGTACACTGTGACATAATTGTTAGGGGTGGTTGCAGGTGCAACACTTCTGAGCACACCCTTTAGTGACGCTGACTGTGGTCTGAGTTGACACACACGAAACATTAAACAAGACAAGACACTCAAACAAACACTTTTCAGCATGCTGTTGAGTGCATCTTTAAAGGTCCAGTGTCTAACATTTAGGAGGATCTATCGTCACAATATTCATAGGTATGTTTTCATTAATCACTTGAAAATAAGAATTGTTGTGTTTTATATATGGAGGTCACCATATTGGACCGCCATGTTTCAACAGTAGTGCAAATCAAACACCGACTTTAGATAGGCCCTTTCGGGTTTTGTGCTAGTTTCTCCTGCATGCTTGGAATGGGAAGCAGGGGCATTTCCAGAGGGGGACCTTGGGTTGCACTGGCCACCCTGAAATCTATTTGGCCACCCAAAGTTCCCAGCATTCTCCTTACCTCTTCCACTCCACACTGTCTTTCATTGGCTGTAGCTCCGTTTTAAAGCTAGATTGAAGATGGTGGGATCGTATGAAACTAGATGACCTTATGCATCGTTGGTACCAACCATGTCATGCTAGCGTAATCTGCAACTACACTGCTAGATACCACTAAATTCTACACGCAGCTCCTTTAACAGTTACCCTTACTCTTTAAACCTGCATTAACTAATGTAAATAAACTTTTTGGGGCCACTTGGGGGCAGTGCAAACAAGTCATGAACACTACATTGATGTATCGTCACCTTTTAAGTTGATATAGTGAACAGTTGCCTAATTACACATCCAGCAGTAACAAAGCAACCCATGCTCTCAGTCTTATAGATTATTTTTGACTCTACCAACTCCTATCTGTCTCTTGTAGTTGCTAAATGCAACCATTGTGCAAGATTTTGTCACAACTTTCTTAACATGTTGTTGTCACCTTATCCATGCCTTCCCCCAATGCACTAAATAAACACATAAAATAAAAATACACTGTTCAAATATTTTGTGGGCACAATAGATGTTAAAGGTCCAGTTTGTGGGTTTAAACCCTCCCCTTTCACGCCAAGGGAAAATCTATGGTGGCTGTGAAGCGGATCTAGAGCCAGTGTTTGGTTTGATCCTTCTGTGCTACTGTAGAAACATGGCGGCCTCCACAGAAGGCAACCAGTGGTGTCTGTAGAACAAAACAGCTCATTCTAAGGCAAAAACACTACAATACCTATATCCAGTTACACATAAAAACATACCTATTAATATTATATTCCATTTCTG